AAAAGGTACACTGCAGAATTCTGGCTTCTCTATGGACATCTGTGGTCGAAACATAACATTGCTCATTTCTTCACTGGCCACATCGCACAGGCAATTGAATTTAGTGAATTATATTTCACAGAAATTCCACACAGATACTGTTCTTCCACCATGGTCGACAAAAGTGAATTTATTAAAGATGATGAAATATAGGCTACTACTACTACTCACTACTACTTGAAAGATGTGAATGATTTTATTTAGCAAGTAAGCATTAAATTGATCAAAAATGCCAATAAATATATTTATAATGTTACAAAACATTTCTATTTCAAATAAATGCTATTTATATTCGTTAAAGAATGCTGAAAAAATGATATCATGATTTCACAAAAATATTAAGCAGCACAACGTTGATAATAATAAGAAATGTTTCTTGATCAGCAAATCAGCATATTAGAATGATTTCTGAAGGATCATGTGACACTGAAGACTGGAGTAAATGCTGAAAATTCAGGTTTGCATCACAGGAATAAATTACATTTATAGAAAAGGCCTAGTCAGACCCCAGACTTAAACCCCATTGAACATCTGTGGAATGACTTGAAGACTGCAGTTCACAAAACTGTCACCATCAAATTGAACTGAACTTGAGCAGTTCTGCAAAGAAGAGTGGGCAAATATTGCAAAGTCTAGATGTGCAAAGTTAGTAGAGACACATCCCAACAGACTAAAGGCTGTAATTAAAGATGGTTCAACAAAATACGGACACAAGAGGGTGATCCTTTTTCCAACTCGCTGATTGTTTCGTTTTTTTCTGATATGTTGGTGTTATATCTTTCACTTGGATGTTGTAAGTTGCACTGAGTAAATACAGCTGGATAAAACAAAAACTGTGTCCGTCTTCATTGCAGGCTGAAAATGTGAATATTTTAAAGGGGGGTGATTCTTTTCTATACCCACTGTAAATGCAGCCTTGGTGAACATAAGAGACTTTTTTTGAAGACAGTAAAAATAATCTTACTGACCCCAAACTTTTGAACAATATTGTAGACCAAATACAAAATTCAAAAAAGTAGCATTTCAAATATCTGATCTCTGTTCGTAAGGCCTGTAGACTTTCAAATGTCAAGCTTTAAAACAACAGCTTTAAAAACTTTTTTCAAAACTTTCAACCAAGGTAAAAAAGGCCTAAAAGGACTGACAAAATTTGCTTTTCTAGTGAAAAGTTAGTCAAATTATTTTAATTGCACTTCAGCGTCATTGTTCGCTACCTCAATTCAAATTCAGGAACTGAATTGGAATGTAAAAATTCTTAATTCAATTCTAAATTCTGTATGTTTTAGCAAGTAAGTGACGTTAGTTGGATATCATGGCACATTATGTGCCAGTTTCAGACTTAAAAGGTCAGTTAACCCAAAAATTTAAATTCTGTCATTTATTCATCCTAATGTCATTCCAAACCTGTAGACTGTAGAAGGAGACATTGCAGAATGTTGTGAGTGATTGCATGTGTGTGTTTTTTACCTCACAGGTAGAGAACGAATCAAACATGCTGCAGGATGGTTCTCTCATCGATCTCTGCGGGGCCACTCTGCTTTGGCGGACCCCTAGCGGTCTTCGTCACACCCCGACTCTAAAACAGCTCGAGTCTCTACGCCAGGAACTAAACGCTGCCCGTCCCCAGTGCCCCGTGGGTTTCAACACGCTCGCCTTCCCCAGCCTGGCACAGCGCGCCACCATCGACAAGAAACAGCCCTGGGTCTATATGAACTGCGGCCATGTGCACGGCTACCACAAGTGGGGGTTTCGTAAGGAGAAAGCGGGATCGTCTGCGGTGGCGTTAACCGGGGGTGGAGGCACAGCTCCGGCTACCACAGGAGAGCGAGAGTGTCCCATGTGCAGAGGGGTGGGCCCCTATGTACCCCTCTGGCTCGGATGCGAAGGGGGCCTGTACCTGGACGCGGGGCCTCCGACACATGCGTTCTGCCCTTGCGGTCACGTGTGCTCGGAAAAGACGGTGCAAGGCTGGAGTCAGATCCCACTGCCGCACGGAACGCATGCCTTCCACGCTGCTTGTCCTTTCTGTGGAACATGGCTGACTGGGGAACAAGGCCACATCAAACTCATCTTCCAAGGCCCGGTCGACTGAGAGGAACAGCTGCCGCGCAGAAAGTGAGATGTTGAGACTGAATAACAGAAACGGAGAGTTTGGACTGTGGAGGATGGACACAAAATTAAGAGCCTGTGAATAAGGCAAAGATGACAAAAAGGGAATATACTTTATGTAATGCAGAATGTGTAAATAAAAGAGATTAATTAAAAGTTGAAAAGATGAGCGTTGTGTGTAAGAAGAAGTGAATGGAAATTGCATACATTTGCATTTGTAAGAGCTTCATGCAAGGCCTTAATTGACAATGTGTAATGTTGACAAAGCAACTGCAGTCAGCTTGAGGCAATGGAGTAAAACGTATCTGAGTCACATTTCTCCAGTAAATCACATAGAAAAAACAATTATTATAGGAACATTAAGACTTCTTGCATTGTGACGTTTGGCAAAAAAACAAATACAATGCACATTTTCTCCTTGATGTTTCATTACTATGATGATTCCAGATATTTGAATTGTCATTATTCTCACTGAGGATTTTGATTAAAGGCCCGTTGACACCAAGAACGATAGTAGCGTCCACACCAGCGGACAAACGTTCTGTTTATAATAAGCACTGCAGTTATGTCGTCTGCCACTTTAAATGCTCGAGCTCTTTAAAGCAGGATGGATTCTGATTAGCTGTCAATGTTTTTCATCGTTCAGCTGGGGGGAAAACTCATTTTTAAAGTGATTCCAACAATATCCAACGATAAATTTAGAACGATTTTAAAACTATATCGTTAACATTAAAGTTATTCTTGGTGTGAATGTAGTCCTGATTGTAATACAATGGTTTAATTTAAATCAGGGCAAAAAATAAGGTAGTACAGGAAAAAAAAGTATAGATAATTAAAATTACTTATGAAATCTATCTACGTATGTGTATAAAAAATTATAATGATTTTTTAAATGAGAATGGGGGAAATGCAAACTTTTGTGCTAGAGAGAAATTGAGAGAATAATGAAAAGGAAAAAGACGAAGACCAGCCTTCAGCCAGAAAAACAAAAAGAGTTTAAATTTAGCATCCACGTGCGCATGTGATGATGCATGAACTACACACGAATGCTCAGATCTCTTTACATTTCAGGGTCTCAGTTTAGAGATTGTGATGAGCTGGCACAGTGAGAAATTAGAGAAAGAGAGATGCTGCATCCGCTCTTATCTCCTCTCTTTCTCTCTCTCTCTCAGGGGATTCTGAGCAGAACGGTACATTCCTGCACACTGACTGCAGCTACTCTGACTGGCTATAAATAACTCAAGGTCATTGGCTCAGCCCTACTACACATGCACGCGCCTCCGAAAATGTCTGTTCAGAAACAGAAACAAGCACACAAGACATAGTAAATCAACAGGTCAAATATGAAATCAAATGGAAATGGTTTCTATTTATGGCGTTTATATTCAGTCATATGAAAGGAGAAATAGAGTCAAATATACAGATATATAATGTCTTGCATACTTCAGACAGTCTACTACTGGACACAATCACTGATTTTCATACACAAATGGAGATCCATGTATTACCCCACCATATCATTAATGTAAAATATTCCATAAATATGCATTATCATTTGTTAGGACGCTAACAGGGCACTAGGTGGAGACGGATAGGCACACATAGAAATGACCTTCACTCTGCTATCACATGGTACAGGGTAGTAAAGACCTACTTTATGGTTTGCTTATATGTAAAGTAAATTTAAGAATAAAATGGAGGTCATAGGGCTGTCTGAAACATTGCTTTTATTGTTAATTAAAAATATAAATATTTGATGAAAAACCTAAACTTAAAAAATGAAAATCAGAAAATATTTCAGTTATCAACTAACTGAAATAAAAATGAAGGCTGTATATATATATATATATATATATATATACACATACACACACAATTCTATCTATTTGTTTTCTTTTTATTTATTATACAATTATAATTCTGACTTTCTGACTTCTGATTGACAAAAGCAAAAAAGGTTTCTGAGGCAAAAACACACTAGCTTGTTCTATTCTTTTTCTATTCCATCGGTTTTCTTTTTATTTATATTATTTAAAAAAAAAACCTTGCTACGTGTACTGCGTTAAGCTAACTGAGACTTGTTATAGCACTTGTATATCATTGCTCTTTTGTTGATTTTGATTGCTAAGCTTATTCAATATAAAGGAGTACATAAACTATTGAAATAACACTGGTCTGGGAAGTCATATTATTTAGCTTAATTGGTAAATCTCACAAATATATACCCGGGTCATATTTCACCCAAAACCAAATAAAAACAATTTAAAATTAATTTTTTGTAAAAAGAGAAATTGGATCCTTTTTTTTTTTGCATTATGACATTATTTTCATGACAACCAGCCACATTTCCTCCAATTCTCATTACTATAATGTGTCCAGATTTTCATTATTCTAAACACTGATTCTCATTACATTCTACATTAAACTGTAATAAAGTAATGAGAATCATCCAGTCCAGACAAAATTATTTTTATTATTAAAAATGACAAATATTTTGTGATTGCCACAGACATGTTCCTGACAGGTTTTATGCCAGGGGTCTCCCAACTCAGTCCTGGAGGGCCGGAGTCCAGAGTTTAGCTCCAACTTGCCTCAACACACCTGCTTAGAAGTTTCTAGTATGCCTAGTAAGACCTTGATTCGCTGGTTTAGGTGTGTTTGATTAGGGTTGGAGCTAAACTCTGCAGGACACCGGCCCTCGAGGACAGAGTTTGGGGACCGCTGTTTTATGCGATTCAACTTTCAAAATAATCAGTTATCAAATTTCCAGCGAACACAGGAAGTGATACTTACCTCACCACCCACGCATAATTTCACTCGACACCTCAAAAAAGCAAGCAGGAAAAGTCATCTTTAAGTCTCATGTTGATCATTTTATTATATATATTTATAATATGTACAGAGAAGAGAAAACAAGATCAAACCCAGCAATGAAACAGCACCGGGGTGAGCAAGCAAAGGGCGATAGAGAAAGAGCGCGTATATTAGAGAAGGAAACTGCTAAAGAGGTGCTTGCCATTTTACCATCGCCGTGTCTTAAATCAAAAAAATGAGATGTGCAAATGACATGGGTAAAAAGTAAAAAGACAAAAAGCATAAGAACGCTCCATCACATTCATAAGTAACCACCCCCCACCCCATACCTTTCATCTTTCCGCGATCCCCACACATTACCACATAATTCATAGATCAAAAGACAGCAGGCGTTCTGAGAAAACAATGACCCTTCCGAACGCATCCCAAAAAAGCACTTGTTTAGTGTGTGCATGAGTGCAGGGTTTAAATGAGACTTTATTTTCACACAGATGTAACGTGGGATCCACGACACGGACCGGTTTTAAAATCAAAGGAATGTTCCCAAACGCAGTTGCCTCTTGCCCATCCCTCCTTCCCAGCCATTGCACACGCACCCATATCCCTGCTACTGCTCCCTCCAACCCCACATTACCAGTTCACTTACTAAATAGTACAAGCACACAATATTATAGACAAGAATGTGTGGTTACGTTAGCATTGCATGTTAGTGGTGTAAAAACGAGATTACACTGGCTCAGTGAGCGAAAGTGATATAATATCACAATGGTGAGACTAGTTAAGATCAAGTGACGCACTAATACTAGTGAAGTTCACAAACTCTATCTACGGTTTCTAGATCCACGTAGTACATAATAAAACAGCCAGGTCAAAAACACTGTCTTCAGACCAATCATTTGCAGTTTTTTTTGAAAATGCTGGTAAGATTGAGTTGTAACTATGTGGAGAAGAGTGCAGGATCCATATAAATCTCTTTGATCACATCTGAATGAGCTTCTAGACCTTTAAAGATCTATCTGTAGGTAGATTTGAAAGCTAGGTGTACGAATATGTTTCATGGAAACATGGGAGGTCATATCCGGTCTCCTACACTGGACCAGTCAATCCCAATATTCCTAGATGTAATACACAATATTCCCACACAAACACATAGCACACTGAACCGGATCCATGGAACTACCATGCTTTCATTGGTGGCGAAATTAAGGCCCTTCACAAATATGCAAATATATTTACCGTATTTAAATAAATACAAAGCACACGCACAGTTTTTGGCAGCAGCGACGACTACGGATTGGAAGTCTGGCTCAATAAGATGGTAAAACGACACTAAATTATAGATCTGAGGTTTCAAACCAAAGCCACAAAACTGTTGACTACATTAAGAAACAACCTCAACATGTCGAGATGGTGTTCGTGCATTCATTTTGAACCTGCGATGGCCGAACACTCAAAAGTAGCAGAGGTCACTGAGGTAATAGAGGGAACAGTAGCTTTCATCGACCAGCCTAAAGCCTAGACCCCCCCAAATCCATTATGAACAAAAAAAAACATCCCTATCCGTCCCTTCCCCGACCAAACTACATCAATGACAGCAGTAAGCCTTTGTACAAGGCTTCATTAGAAAAAAAAAATCAGTCTTAAAAATCACCATAACAATAATATACTAATAGGATGAGAACAACTATAGAATATTGCCGACTTGTTTGCAGTTGACTTCCTGTTGATTCGGCATCAGAAGCCATGCTTTCGCCAACAAAACCTCATTCAAGTGACGACGTGTGAGAGAATTAGAAATACTACAGAGATAGGTTAACGTTCTTAACACAACCTCGCTAGTTGTTTAAAAGGAGGATTTGAGAATCGCCCCTAGATCTGCTCTCATTTGTTTCTATACATGGACATATGACTGTACTAAAGCTCCATCCTGGACTTTAAGTACAGAGGGCGGGGATATGGACTTGGGCAGGGTTATTAATGTGCACAGGGAGGAAAAAGAGGTGAGGTGTCTTACACAAAAGGAATGGCTAAGGAGAATAAAAACATGAAGACTATGTTGTCATAAATGAAGCCATAAGGCTGTTAGACGTTGGCTCTTAATGCAGTGGTTCCTCCCTTGAGAATGCTTTTTTTTGGTGTGTGTGAGAAAATTCGTTTAAGAGGGAAAGGGATGGTTGTGTACGTGTGTGTGCGTGTGTGTGTGTGTACGCTCAGGCTCTTCAACAGCAGCCGCCGCCAGACTGCCGCACAGGAGTGCTCTCGATCTTCAGGTTGGGCTTGTCTCCTCCGCTTGTCGCTCCAGGGCCCATGCGCTTCTTGATCTCAGCAGCCATTGTCATGAAGGCCTGCTCCACATTCGTGGCATTCTTAGCGCTCGTCTCAAGGAAGGGGATTGCTAAAGAGTCAGCAAATTCCTTGAAGGTAAAAATAAATCAGAGTGAGACACTTTTTTATTTTGCCCAACTTTGTGCTTGGCACTTACAGTTAAACCAAAAAATTTTTAGACACCAGATATAATTTTTATTTATTTTTTACTAGTGGGTGCAGGACACTATAGTTTATTTATGTAAGTGAGGATAGCAAAATAAAGTAAACTGTGGCATATTATACCCCGAAATTCTTCATACAGTGGACTACCAGTAAAACTGATGAAAATTTGGGACCAAAAATTATTCAGACACTTTGACCTGACCATGTTTTGCTTGAGTGTTATCTGACATCAAGATGAATTTGTTCTGACACAGTTTAACTCCGAGTTCTTGTCATATTTTATTACCATTTTCTAAACTATAGCGAATAAACTCTGATAATGTGTGAAATATTGAAGGTGTCTGAACAAATTTTGGTTTGACTATGTATAACTGTCTATCAACTATATTAAATACTGTAAAAGGTCATTTTCTTCCACAATTAGCCTACATGTTAATATAGATTTTTGTCAGATTTTTTGTTCTGAAGAAAATGTGAGTGATTTATGCCTGTGCAAAGCTTCCCTCTATAAAGCAACTTTCGCATTGGATTCAAATTTTTCATGCAAATTCACCATAGTGACCAACAGAAAGTAGTAGTATCATTTTATTTAATGCCATGTCAGCATCTGAGGCTACTTTACCAACAGAAAGCTGTCACTTTGAAAGTGACTTCTGTGCGAGTGGTGCTTCATGCATCACTAAACTATCAACAAAGGACCTTTTTTTGCCTATGAAATTTTGACGAAATTAATGTGACTACATCTCAAGTGTTATAAGAGGTCCCTAGGTGGTTACTTACTGGCTGCAGTCAAAATGAGCTCAAACACAAGTCTTTATGATATTCCGGTCTCTTGCAATGCAAGTCTAAATCAAAGCACTTAGAACAAGTTGCACAATTTGACATATCATTCATGTCCAGAAAACATTTTATTCAAATCTCTAAACCTTAGCATGAGCAGCAGTAATACTAAGGTTAAAGGGTTAGTTCACCCAAAAATTTTAATTCTGTCATTAATTACTCACCCTCGTGTTGTTCCAAACCCGTAAGACCTTCGTTCATCTTCGGAACACAATTTAAGATATTTTTGATGAAATATGGACCCATAGACAGACAGGTAACTACCATGTTCAAGGTCCAGAAAAGTACCAAGATGATCGACAAAGTAGTCCGTGTGACATCAGTGGTTCAACTGTAAAGTTACAAAGCTACGAGAATACTTTTTTGCGCAAAGAACTCACCCTCGTGTTGTTCCAAACCTGTAAGACCTTCGTTCATCTTCGGAACAAAATTTAAGATATTTTTAGTCCAAAGTGACGCAGTAGAGATGAAAATGTGGAATAAAGTCGTTATTTTTGTTTTCTTTGCGCAAAAAAGTATTCTCGTAGCTTCGTAACTTTACAGTTGAACCACTGATGTCACACGGACTTCTTTGTCGATCATCTTGGTACTTTTCTGGACCTTGAACGTGGTAGTTACCTTGCTGTCTATGGGAGGGTTAAATTGTGTTCCGAAGATGAATGAAGGTCTTACGGGTTTCGAACAACACGAGGGTGAGTAATTAATGACAGAATTTTCATTTTTGGGTGAACTAACCCTTTAAAAGTACATTATTATGCTACCAATGTCACAGAAATGGGAAGCAATTGGGCTTGTAAAGCCCACTAGTTTTGATAAAAAAGGGAACGGAGATTTCAAATCAAAAATTAATACAGATTAGATGCGTCTATTTTGACGCATCAATACCTTGGCTGTTGTGTAGTCCACTACTTTCTTGGTGGTGAGGTCACATTTGTTCCCCACAAGCAGCTTGTTGACGTTCTCGCTTGCGTAGCGGTCTATTTCCTGTAGCCACTGTTTCACATTGTTATATGATTCCTTTAGAGAGAGAAAGACAGAGAAAATAATTCTTAATTTCAACCCTTTATGCGTTAATGATGCAGTATTATCCAGGGTTGTTATTGTAAACTAAAACTATTGAAATCATTTTCAGAAACTGAAATAAAATAAAATATAAATATTAAATGTAAAAATGTAATCGAAAATTAGAAATGTTGCCTTGGCAACTGACTTAAACTTTAAGGGCCCTATTTTAACGATCTAAGCGCATGGTCTAAAGCGCACGACGCAGGTGCACTGAGGGCGTGTCCGAATCCACTTTCGCTAGTTTAACGACGGAAAAACGGTCTGCGCGCCCGGCGCACTGTCTAAATGGGTTATCCCTATTCTCTTAATGTGTAATGGGTGTGTTTTGGGCGTAACGTGCAAAAAAAACAATCAGAGTCTCATCTCCCATCCCCTTTAAAAGCCAGTTGCACTCGCGCCATGGCGGGTTCGCTATTTACATGGCGGAATTTAATTTTTCATTTAGACCAGGTTTTTGTTGGTCAATGGCGCAGTCTATTTCAGTTGCCTCAAAATAGCAACGCGCCAACAATGCGCCTGAACACACCTCGTTTTCAGACCAGCACGCCCATGGGCGCACAAATAGGCGCAAATGCATTTGCTATTTAAACAACGCGCCTGATGCCGTATTGCGCCAGGTGTATGATAGGGCCCTAAGTACTCAAAATACTGAACCTAAAACAAAAATTTAAGTTAAACAGAAATATATATAAATCATTAAAAAAAATGAAAACTGAAAATATAAAAAATAAATGCTAATTCAAAATATTAATTCGCATTTTAATAGTATAAAGCAGTGATGGGCAAACTTGGCCCTTCCAGGCCACTTTCCTGCAGAGATTTGATCCAACCCTGTTAAAACTCACCTGCCTGTAGCTTTCTAGTAGTCTTGAAGACAATGATTAGCTGGTTCAGGTGTGTTTGATTAGAGTTGGAGCTAAACTCTGAAGGAAAGTGACCTGGAAGGGCCAAGTTTGCCCACCCCTGGTATAAAGTATACTAAAATAACACTGGTAACAATGTACTTAAAATAACTAATTTGACAAGCAGATCATCAAGCGAGAGGTTTTCTAAGGATGAAATCAGCACAGTTTACACAGCATCAGAACTACAGAAAAATGTGATAAATGTCCTTGAGCCTTGAAAATTATCATCAATTCAGCTGCAGAGTGTGCCTTGTTAAATTAAGGCCAAACAAAGGAGGAGAATTACTGATGACATCTCACCTGATCCGTGACATCATAGACCACAATGATACCGTGAGCCCCTCGATAGTAACTGGAGGTGATGGTTCGAAATCTTTCTTGCCCCGCAGTGTCCCACTGAAAGAAAGAAAGAAAGACAGAAAGGTTTGGCCCCATTAATGAGTCAGTAGTTTCATCTATTGACCCAAGAAAGCCGGTCATCATAATGTAATGGTCATGCTGTCATGGAGCTTGTGAAAAATGAGTGTTATGAGGGAGTATGTATGGACTTACAATCTGTAGCTTAATGGTTTTGCCATCAAGTTCAATGGTGCGGATCTTGAAGTCCACGCCTATGGTGCTGATGTAGCTCTCAGTGTACGTGTCATCCTGAAGGACCACAGACAAACAGAAAGGAGAATGAAAACGTATTTACTTTTGTGGATATACTCCATCTTACAATATATTGTGCAAGTATATATCTACTATAAAATACATTCAATCAATTCTATATGATTTGCAGACTGCATGTTTTCAGTTGATTTTTAATTCATGTTTGGCAGCAGAAGCTGACAAAACAACCCATCTGTGACTGTACTCACAGCAAATCTCAACAGCAGACACGACTTCCCGACTCCAGAGTCACCGATGAGGAGCAGTTTGAAAAGGTAGTCACTAAAATTGAGAAACACAACAGTAATACATTAAATACAGTAGTACACCAACATGAATAGATTTCAGTTTTGATCTCAGTTTAACCTTTATATCTTATGATATTAGAAGTCAAACGGGTTATTATACCACTATTAATACCTCAAGTTTTATTTTATCACTCCATACAGTGTTGTTTTAGTATTATTTATATATAATTACAGTATTTATAGTATTATTAGCCTTTTCAGTTTTCACTTTAATTTTGTTATGTTTTTAAATTATTTTTGTCACAAAAATGGAGAAACACAACAGCAATACATTAAAAATATATCAACATGATCATATTTCAGTTTTGAATATAAATCGAACCCTCATATCTTAGGAAATTACAATTCAAAATGGGTTATTAAAATAGCATAACCTCAAGTTTTATTTTCCATATAATTCCATACAGTGTTGTTTTAGTATTATTTATATAGCGTATTATTACAGTATTTATAAATATTTTGCATTAGCATTTTTTGTTTAATTTTAGTTTGTTTTCTAAATTTTGTTATGCTTTTTTATTTATTTTTGTTTTTTAAATATTTCTATTTAGCTTAAATTTTTTTGTTTTAGTTATTTTAGTACTTCAACATTTTATTTCAGTTCATTCAGTTTCATGTCTAGTTTTTGTTCACGTTTCTTAATTTCAAGTTTTTCATCTAATATTTTTATTTAAGCTTCATTTAAATTAACAAAAACTGTTTTTAATACTTTTAGTTTTCATTAACAATGACAATGCTGCTACAGTAGTTAGATTAATGATAATCATACAATATGACAGATTTAACAGGCAGCAGATTGTAAATCATATGGTCTTAAGTTGTTTGGCTAATGTGAACATTAAAAAATCCTCTCTTCATACACAGTAAGAGCAACACCAAAGATGATTGGAGTGTAAAGAGTTCTGTGTGTGTACTGACCTTTCAGAATGGTGTCTGTCCTGCTATGTTAAAGGGGTCATATGATGCGATTTCAATTTTTCCTTTCTCTTTGAAGTGTTACAAGCTCTTGGTGCATAAAGAAGATCTGTAAAGTTGCAAAGACTAAAGTCTCAAATCCAAAGAGATATTCTTTATAAAATTTAAGAGTCAACCACGCCTACCTAAAACGGCTCGTTCTAACACGCCCCCACATGTCTACGTCACGATGTGGGAAGATTTGCATAACGCCGCACAAATGTTCACGCAAAGAAAGAAGGCGTAACTTTTATTCTCACTGTAGTATTGTTGCTGCCGCCATGTCGTGAAGACGCTGTGTTTCGTATTGAAAGCAAAACTGCTGTTTGGCTTTCCAAAGGAGGACGATATCCGCTTCGTCATGCCTAGAGCTGATCCGTGCTGGTCGCTGAGGAAATACATCAACTTCGCGCTGTGGATCGCCGGATCCACAGCTACTTCGTCGAATCCGCCGGCCGCGCTGTTCTCAAGCCCGCCGAAAATCGACGCGTTTCAGAAAGGCGGGGCATAGAGGAGAAACATTAATGTACAGTATGATGAAAATAATGTGTTTTTTTTAACCTTAAACCGCATAAACACATCTCATTACACCAAATACACAAAATAATGTTCTTTTTAGCAACATCATATGACCCCTTTAATATATCAATGACACTACATCGCATAGTATTACTATTGAACTAATCATATAGCACATCACACCTGGTTATCAGAGGTTAAACGGATCTAAAAAAGAAAGGTGGCATTAGTATTGCTAAAATGTTAACTGGTTTGTAAACAAGTTCTAAAATCAGCTGCCACTTCCAACCAACAGCCAGGAATCTGCTTCACGGTGATGGTGAAGTAGGCTAAAAACAAAATCAGCATAAACAAAGTCTCCCCTGCCACAAGCTCAAAATACAGCTGAGCCTTATTCCAGCGCAATGAATGACTGTCGCAATGAAGGACCTACTCTGGTTTCTGAATACAAGTACTAACATTAGACAAGCTGAGAAATGTTGCATCACACAACAGTTGTGAAGCAATCATGACTCTGAGCATGCTGATGATACACAGCGTGCTCGCATGTGTCAAGAGTAGGGATGTAATGGTATGAAAATTTCATATCACGGTTATAGTGACCAAAGTTATCACGGTTATCAATATTATCACGGTTTTGTTAAAATTAGATGAACATGTTCAAAAAGAACTGATACACACACTGAAAACATTTCAATAAGTTTTATATTTGAAAATCAACAAACAACAAATACAATTAGCAGCTATATGCACTTTTTTAGCATAAAAATTAAATTAACATTAACATGAAGCTCTAATAATAATAATAATAATCCAAGATGGTGAGAAATAAGATTCTCTGGTCTGATGAGACCAAGATAGAACTTTTTGGCCTTAATTCTAAGTGGTATGTGTGGAGAAAACCAGGCACCTGTCCAATACAGTCCCAACAGTGAAGCATGGTGGTGGCAGCATCATGCTGTGGGGGTGTTTTTCAGCTGCAGGGACAGGACGACTGGTTGCAATCGAGGGAAAGATGAATGCGGCCAAGTACAGGGATATCCTGGGCGAAAACCTTCTCCAGAGTGCTCAGGACCTCAGACTGGAACTAAGGTTTACCTTCCAACAAGACAATGACCCTAAGCACACAGCTAAAATAACGAAGGAGTGGCTTCACAACGACTCTGTGACTGTTCTTGAATGGCCCAGCCAGAGCCCTGACTTAAACCCAATTGAGCATCTCTGGAGAGACCTAAAAATGGCTGTCCACCAACGTTTACCGTCCAACCTGACAGAACTGGAGAGGATCTGCAAGGAGGAATGGCAGAGGATCGCCAAATCCAGGTGTGAAAAACTTGTTGGATCTTTCCCAAAAAGACTCATGGCTGTATTAGATCAAGAGGGTGCTTCTACTAAATACTGAGCATTTTTCAGTTTTTCTTTTTTAATAAATCTGCAAAGATGTCAACAATTCTGTGTTTTTCTGTCAATATGGGGTGCTGTGTGTACATTAATGAGGAAAAAAAATTAACTTAAATGATTTTAGCAAATGGCTGCAATATAACAAAGAGTGAAAAATTTAAGGGGGTCTGAATACTTTCCGTACCCACTGTATATATATATAATAGGCTATATTACATACTGTAATATTACATAATGTTGTGTGCTATCTGTCACGCCCACTGAAGGCTCGTCAGTAGATCACACGTGCGCTGAAGTGAACTAACCCTGGAACATAACCTGCTCCGGAGCAGGTTATCTTCAGAGAGCAAGTTGCTATGGTTACTTACATACCCTGAAAGTTACCTCCGATTTTGGAAGCGAAAGCTGAGGTTATCCGCTCGCTTATCCTCAAACATACCTGGGTATGTCACATAACCTGCTTTTTGGAATACCCCCCTGGTGTATACCCACAAACAATAAGAGAAACCTCAATATCAAAGCGTTTTAGCGTTCAGTTCCCTGTTTTAACAAGTCAATTTTAGTCAAACACCATAAACTGGATATTAGTGAGTTTGTTAATTGGCAATGCTGATACATAAACAGTTTAGTTAAACGAAGTATAAACAGTATAAACTGCATTTTAAAGTGTACTGCTTTGCCATTTACAACACAGAAAGGAAGTGAAATCTGTTTGTTTGGGCATCCTGACAGGGTCCGACATATAAACACTGGCTCAACCAATGGCACGCGTATAGGGCGAGACTACCTGCTTAACTGACCAATGGCAAACAGGGAGAGTTTGAAACATGCTTGTGTTCTTTGTTGCCAGTGAAACAGACACATTTAAAGGGGTCATATGATGCGATTTCAATTTTTCCTTTCTCTTTGGAGTGTTACAAGCTCTTGGTGCATAAAGAAGATCTGTAAAGTTGCAAAGACTAAAGTCTCAAATCCAAAGAGATATTCTTTATAAAAGTTAAAAGTCAGCCACGCCTACCTAAAACGGCTCGTTCTAACACACCCCACATGTCTACGTCACGATGTGAGAAGATTTGCATAACGCCGCCCAAATATTCACGCAAAGAAAGAAGGCGTAACTTTAATACTTGCTGTTGCCGCCATTGCCATGTTGTGGAGTCGCTGTGTGTTTTGTTGTGAAAGCGAAACTACTTTGTTTGGCCTTCCAAAAGAGGACACGACTAGAAATCAGTGGTTAAGTTGTATTTACAACACTGTTCCAGAACACTTCAACCCAAATATTCAGATGTGTGCAACGCATTTTACGGAGGACTGTTTCCTG